CTGCGCGCCCCGACCGGCTGCAAGCGCCGGGCGGGCGCACACGCACACGCACACGCGCACCCCCACCCCGTCCGCGGCTTAGCGGGGCTTGGGCCCGAGAGGGCCGCGGCTGGAGGCGGGGGCCCCGGGCAGCCGCTCAGGCGGGGCGGCGGGCATGTGCCGGTAAACAATGACCGTATTGTGAAATAGAAAACAGACTCCGGCTCCCTCTGAAACGCTCGCTCCCCACCGGATGTGTTAAATAAAAACCGCTGGGGGAAAAAAACAGCAGAAAGTCAAGAAAATCGGGTTCGGGCTGGGAAGGACGAGGGGCAGGAAACCCGCAGACGGGCGGATTTCTGTGCCCTCAGCCCGGTGATCCTCGCACGGGCTGCGACGGCCGCGGGTGCCTTCCAAAAAAATCCGCGGTGGTATCTGCTGGATTTCCCTCGCCCTCTTTTTTTTTTTTAATTTAATATCAAAAGTTTTGTTGGTCCTGTGTCGTGTGTGTGCGTGTGTGTGTCCCCGCCGCCTTGCCACTGAATAAAACAAGAGCAAACTTTCTCTGCTGCAGGAAACCGATCCAGATTTCCCCGGTGAGCTGCAGGAACGGCTTGGCCGGCACCCGCCGCGGCTCCGGACGCTGCCGGGGCCGGGTGCGATACCAGCGCCCAGGTCCTCTCCTGTTTTCTCCCTTCAAACGGCACCTTCCTGCCCGGACGTGTTGAAGTGCAGTGCCCTGGAATTTATGACACAAATGGGCTTTCCCCCCACCCTCTCCCCCTCTTCATCTGTTTAAAATCTCTACCGTCCCTTCCAACTGGATGCAAATTGGGAGCTTTAATAAACTTACTTCCCCCCCTCCCCAGTCGTAAACATACATCGCTCTCCGGTTCCTCTCTTTAGAAAAAAAATAGGGGGGGGGGGGGGGGCATTTCCAATGGATTTAAGTAAGTGATTCATATAATGAAATGCTAAGGGATTTGTTTAATGCGATTTTATATGAGCTGTGGACATTTCCAAAGCAAACAATAAGTTCAAGTACAACATGCACGGTTGTGTTACAAGTGTTACCCAGCTGGCTAGAAGATCTTCGGTGAGCAAACAGGCTAAATCTGGAGAGTAAACAACTTCAGAAAAATCTACAACTCCAGGTCACTGAATACAGCCTTTTTATTTGTTTTCCTTAGTGTCTAGTAAAATCTGATCCATTTCTTTGCAACGCTGCTGTAAAATCACCAGGGTCAGGGCATCACCAGCCCGCGGTTCGCCCCGGCCCGGCCGCTGAGCCCATCGCCTGGGTCTTGGGTGCATTGACGGGCGCCGAAAACCGGGTGCTGCTGGTCGGGGTGCTGCGGGGGCCACGGGACGGGGACACACACCCCCGCGCAGCGCCACCCCCTTCTGGGGGGCTGTCACCCGTGAAGTGGGCTCTTGCGACGGCCTCCAAGCGGCGAAGCCCCGCGGCGGCCTGCCAGACGTCCTGCCCACGCGTAAGGGTGTCCCGAGCTCCCCTCGTGACGGGGATCTGGCCCTGGGACCAGGTGGCGAGCATCGTCACGGGGCGGCGAGGAGCGGCCACGCGTGGGGCTGAGCGGCCACGGCCGCGCCTGGGGGGGCGCCGGCGCTGGCGGGGGGGGCGGGGGTTCTCCGCCCACGGGCGTCGTGCCACAGCCAGGTCGCCTTTCGCGACACCGGCGGGGGGGGGCCCCTAGGCCGTGTGGTGCCACCAGTGGCCCCAGCAGCTCCCCCACACCCCCGCGCAGGGCGTCCTGCCGGGAGCCTCCCGCCTGGCTCCGGGCCGTGCTCGGGTCTTCGACGCAGGAAATGATGTAACTAAAATTCAAGATTTGGGGGGGGAGGGGGGTAATATGATTTACTTTATTTAACGCGGAGGTCCCGGCCGGCGTCCCCCGGAGAGGGGGCACGATCCGAGCGAAACAACCCCGACTAGACGCGACTGGTTATCGCCGCCGGATCAGAAATCGCGTCGGGAACCGGCAGCGCCCGGTGCGTTGCTCCCAAGCCAGCAGCGTAGCCGAGAGGGACCGGACGGCAAATCCGAGCGGCGTGGCTGCGGCCCTCCCCCGCGGGGCTGCGGGCTGGGGCTGCGGG